TTACAGTCTTTACAGCTGCATTTTAGCTGTGTTTTATTGGTCCAAGGATTGACAAAGCTTTCATTACACTTGAACGTCTCTGCATTCATCCATGTCATGTTCTGAGGGATCACTTCAGGAAAGATTATATCAAATGGAGACATCCCATTACTTGTACTGCCCATGTATGTCACTAGTTTCTCGGGGGTGCAAGTTTTTGGACTCTCTCCACAAATGAGATTAAGGATTTTCTCATTGTTTTCTGGAAAAACAACGTCTTTACATGAATCAAAAAGACCTTTCTTGAATTCAGGAGAAGCATAATAGTTGATACTCAGGATGGACTKWTTTTGACCTGGTATTGGAAATGGAGGAAATAGCATTACYGGATCCATGAAAACAGACTGATCAGGACTGCAGGTTGATTCGCAAAACAAGTCGATCAAATTTGTCAGACAAGCTGGGCACCGACTTGCAAGCTGTCTGAAAGTGTTTAGATTATCATTAAGAGTCTTAAGCTGGCTAGTTGAGCAACAGGTCTTCCTATCAGCAGCATACTTTGGACAAATTTTGTTGAGGAGCTCAAGGCCCTTGGTGTCGTTCATTATTTTTGCAGGGCCATTGTAGAGACAATTCAACGTCCTTCCTCCCTGCTTAAGACATTGATCATACCAAACACAGTACCCTTTCTTATGAATTGGAGCAACATCCCCCTGATAAAAAGTATAAAAATGATTTAGATATGATAACCATAGGCCGAACAACTATCGCTTTTAGAGAAAGAAAAGAACGAATTATCGGCGCGCACTCATAGCAAAAACAAACAAATTATTTCATCACTTGTGTGCATTTAAGCTCACTTGGATTACCTGTGGTATTACGTCACAATCTCGTTTCTCGCGGGATACAAAGTAGTCTGTCTACGCCCCTCTGGCCCCTCCCCTTTGTTACGCGGCCCTTGACATTACTGTCTCCTCATGATCAACTTCAGCAACAGAATAAGCATAAGCGCAATATATATCTCACGTAATAATAAATTTCTATAAAATCCTGAAATCCGTAAGAAGATGATTTTGTCAAAACACTTTGAAGAAAATGATGTATTGGAGTTTTAACTAAGCGGAGCAACATCACAAAGACAACTTTCATATAAATTGTGATGTATGTAAGCTTATGTAGCAATATATATCGATATCGACTGTCGTAGTTTCTTCATGGCGCAAAGTGCGTTTACCRTCTTAAATATATTACCATTTAAAGTGTTTTTAAGCGATTTTTRGAACCCTTTAATTATTTTAGCCCAAACTACATTATACGACTTGTCTCCTAATCGGAGCGTGACGGCGATTGCACAACCCGGAAGTTGTGGGAAGTTAAAGTTTTTGATGGAAATAATTCAAATGAAATAGGGATGATATATACGTAGCACATCAAGTCARTGAACCACGCACAAGCCCCTGCATCATGTACTGATCGRCATTAACTTTACCTGTGCTAAGCCYAACAACACCAACGTCAAGACAAGAACTTTCATTTCARTACAATTTMCCGCGGCTTCTGGCACGTCAAACAAGMTTCGTAGAAAACRRTCTTTTTTGTTCGTTATTTTTTKRRGSYTTT